CCCCATCGCCCCCCTGCCGGCACACACCTGAGCAGGTAGGAGCATGCACACCCCCTCCCAATTCTCCCTGGGCCTCCTTTCGCGGGAGTCTCCCTGGTCCTGATCCGGCCGCTTCCCTCTTCGGCAGTTCAGGCTTTCCCCATGCTTCCTCCCCCATTGCTCGCAGTAGTCCAGGGAGGTGGGAACCTGGGAACCCTGGGGCGTTAGAAAGCTCTGAGCCCCAGACCCCCGGAGCGCCTCTCTTGCAATTCGACCCCCTAGGCATTCTCGTCTCTAGCTAAGAATGGAAAGTGGGGGAAGGTCTGCCCAGGCCCCACGCCCTTGCACCCTCCTTTGCAGTATTGCTTTAGTCCCCCACCCCCACCTCACCTAGACTGGAGAATTGGGAAGTGATGGCTTGGCAGAAAAAGTGGAGAGGGGCATGAAGGGAACCCTACTCTCCCTGAGGGATTTCTCCCTTGCTTCTTCGTGGCTTCCCAGCCTAGAGCTCAGGACTTTGCCTCCACTCCCTCTTACTATGTAGGGAGCCCAGGTCTCCTTCCAGGTGCGTGACACCCTTGGGTGCCCCAGGGCTTTGTAGAAGGGTGGTGGAGGTTTGCTGACCTTGTTCTCTACAGAGAGTCTTTTCGGCACAGAACTCTCATTCCTGTTGATGCCTGGGCACCTGGTGCAGAGACCCCCACCTCCAGTGCCTGTGTGCAGACCATGCGGTTGTTAAGACCTATACATTTTGGATAAAGGTCCCTGCATGCATCCAAGGGGAGAGATCCCAGTGAGGCCCAAGACAGATCAGGCTCAGTCCAGATGGCTGGGGAAGGGGGTGTGGACCAGATCTGGAGGGCCTATCAGCCATGCCAGCTCCCTGCACGCCTTGGCTTACAGAGCCTCAGGCTCCTGGTGTTACTCTGGAGCTGGGAGGTCCTCAAGCTTCTGCCCTCCTGCCGGCTTGGGAGAGAGCTGGATGGTACCTGCTGTTTACATTGGCTGGTTTTCCCCTCCAGTGGTGGGCTGACAAGCCCTGCTTGCTGAAGATGGGGGGTGGCACATCTCATTATGGTTTGGTGGGCTTATACAAAGGGCAGGTGGTTTGTCTGAATAACTAGTAGCCATGTGTGTCTCTTGCCTCTATGGGGTAGCTGAATGGGGGTGAGGGGCAGAAGAGGTCCAGACCCAGCGTAGTTTGACTCTCAGGATGTTGTGACTGTGCACCTGTGTGGAACCTAGCTGTGTGCTCTATATCCCTTCATGTTTCCCAAGGTCCCCCTGAGAGGGGAGTCAAAGGCCTGAATTTGAGACTCTTAACCATATGTGTTTATAGTCTTCCAGCTAAATCTCAGTTTCTTCATTTGTAAAAACTTCTGTCCTTCCTGGCTAGGTTTACCTGATGGTGACCCTGCCATATTGTCATATAGGCCCCAGAACATAAAGGATGGCAAAGGCCCCCCTGTTAACTCAAGTTACAACTGCAGAGTTCTAGGATAGGAACGAACCCTCCTTAAATCTGGGTCAGTCTCTCTGCTTTAGGTTTCCTTCCATCACTGCCCAGGGGACAGAGGAGCCTTGCAAGGCTGTTGCCTGAGGATGCAGAACTCCCTAAGAGCAGTGGCTTTTCCTGTCACCAGGGTGCTTGCCAGACAGCACAGATCTTTGCACCAGGCTTTTTTTCCCCAGAGGCCACACAGCTTGGTCCAGGAGCCTCTTCTCCACCTTCCTTTCCCCATCCCGTCTGTGTCCTTGTCTGTCTCTTCCCTGCCCAGTGGCCTCCTTGTCCAGCTCACTGGGCAGGAGCCCTAATCGGATTGGACAGCTGAGATATGTGTGGTGACTGAAAGCAGGCAAGCAGGCGGGAGGGAAGCCCCTGGCACTGCCCTGGCTCCCAAGAGAGAGAGAGAGAGAGAGAGAGCACCACCTTGGGCTTGCTGACTGCTGGCTTGGTCCCAGGGAAGGGGAGCCAGAGGAAGGCCAGGAATGAATGGCTAGGGACTAGGGACTGTAGGTCAGGGTGGGTTCCACACCTAAGGCCATGGTTGATATTTGGCCTTAAAATGCAGACACCTGGGACTGCAGGTGGGAGCTAGGTTGTCTCCCCCATTCCCATGGCTTCACTTTTTCTCTCTCCCTTTCTGTTCTTAGTAGTATTCACTGCTTCAATCCAGCCCTTCCTGCCAGAACCTTCCTATGGATCATATGTGGTAGCCGCCAGGGCAGCGTGTGTGTGTGTGTGTGTGTGTGTGTGTGTGTGTGTGTGTGTGTGTGTGTTGTTATCAAGCCTGTTTCCTTTCCTCTCCTCAGAGATATTTTTCTCATTCACTCTCTGGGCTGGAGGCCAGGACTCCTGGGTTTCCCACTTGCCTCACAGTACAGGGCTCTCTTGCTGGCCTCTGGAGAGTCTCTAAACTGGTTTCCCCCGCAGTGTCCTGTGTAGGGAGGGCCTTCCCCTAGAGCTGGGAGGTGCCAGAAATCCCAGATGGGATGGGTAGCAAGGTACAGTAAGAGTAGGCTTCTCCCTCATGACCTCTGCTTCAGCTGGGGGCAGTGCATCCCCAGCTTGGTGGACATGGCCTGGTTTTGCCTCCAGGCTTCTTGCTTTACATAGGGACATCCAACATCTTCTGCTGTCCTTTCAGCTATGGAATTGGGGGTGGGAGTGCCTCTTGAAACCCCTATATCTGAACCATGTATACATCAGGGAGTAAAAGACTAGCGTGTAATTGGGGCAGGGGTACTAGTTTCTCTTTCCTTCAGTTGGGCTAGGATAAAGGAAACACAGAAACTTTACCAATGCTAATTCCCTCTGCCCTCAAAAGACCAGTGGGTAGAGCCAGGCCTTCCCCTCTCGGTGCCCACAATGTGGTTGGCATTGATTTGTCAGAAATTGGGAAGGGTTCCCTCTAGACCAATTGCATCCTTTCTTCTCCCACAGGGCTGGGGCAACTCTGTGATTGTAGGCACTTATGAGCAGGCCTTCCCCCCCTCCGCCCCCAAAGAGGGAGTGTGGGATGACCCCGAGATGGCCAAGTTGGCACTAGCCCCAGGCTGGAGTGCTGGACACCGTTCTGAGCTGAGAGTTGGTGGGTGAGGGCAGGGCACAGGCCTCCCTGCCCCCCTCATTTCCTGCTCTTTGGGCAGCTGTGGGCGAGAAAGGCTGTGGGGACTATTTTTAGTTGGTCTGTCCCCTGGCAGGAGGGACGTGCAGAAAAGCACGGGGCAGGCAGAGGGGCTGGCTAAGGTGAGGTAAAAGTCAGGCAGAGGGGTGAGGAAGGGCCAGGGGCAGCAGATAGAACAAGGAAGTATGTTGGCAAGGGGAGCAACTTTGCAGAGAGGTGTTTGACCCAGCTCAGACAAGCAGAGGAGCTCTGGGGACTCCTCAGGTTTCTCTGTCCAGTTTCCATCAGATCTAAAAGGGAGTTTTGAGGCTCAGACAAGCCTCTTCCCCTCATAGAGAGGAACCAGAGGGGCATATGTTTTGCCCCAGAACTCTCAAGCAGTCACTACCTGTGCTCCAGGTGACTTGCACCACTCTTGTCTGGTCTCTACCACACAACTTGTGCTTCCTGCCATCTGCAGCAAGGAGAACCTCAGGCCAGGGACACACACGAGGGAGGGAGGGCTGTTTCCCTCCCTGCTTGTTTTTGCAGGGGCTCTGTAAAGCCCAGCTTGGTTTGTTTATAAGTCTACCATGAGGAAAGAGCCTGTGTGCAGGCTGGAAGGAGGCTGGGGTTGGGGTTTGTTTGGGTGGCCTGTGGCCACTGGTGTGAATGGAGGTGTTGGACAGCTTCCAGCACATTCCCAGGCTGGCAAGCTGTGGGACTTGGAGCCACCTTTCAGAAGGGACATCCCGTCCAGCTGTTTTGACTTAGAGACCTAGAGAGGGCCAGGGATTTGTCCACAGTTGCAAGATGAGTTGGGGATAGATGGAGGACAAGAATACAGATCTTCAGACCCTCCAGAACCCTTTGTGAGCCCGTTCCAGCCATGCCCAGGACCCATGCCATTGCCTCCACCACAGAGGGAGAGCAGAGCAATTAGCAGATGTCCTGTAAGGCTGAGGGGCAGAGGGCTGGTATGGGGAGACAGTTTGGTAGGGTCTCTTGGGATTCTGTCTGCATTCCTCTTACCGAGGGCCTCCATGTTGTATAGGTGCAGAGAAAGCCATTCTTTAGATTGTGAGGTGAATGATGTCCCCTAGAGTTGTTCCAGAAGCTATCGGTGTTGCCAGCTGGGGGGCAAGTTGTTGTAGATGGCGCCTAAATCTAACAGCTACTTTCTAACCCTTCTTCCTGCCGCTCGCTCAGCCTCTCCATTTTTTTCTGGCTGGCCACCTCCTCACCAAGCAGCTCTGAGTGGGTCACAAATTCTGGTGCAGAAGCCCCTCCCCCTCCACTCAGTTTCCCTGTCCCTGGGGTCCTGATTTATCATGCCCCCCATCAAGCCTGCTGCAGTGTGAGAAATCAATAGTGCAAATGGAGTGAGGCTGTTCAGCCTGTCGCCTCCCTTTGGACCCCTCCAACTCCACTGGGACCCTGCAAGTTATCCTGTCCCTTTCTGACTTAACACAGACATATAGACACACCTAGTGCTTGTATCCCTGACGCTGAGCACAGGCGCTGTCTCCATCGCTCTCATGTTCTCCTTCTCACATATACTGGGCTGGTCTTAGCATGACAAATACTCATGAACATTTATTTCCTAGTTTGGGTGGGGTGGGGTGGAGGGGCTCAAAGGGCAGCGGGCTGCCAGCCAGAGGTAGGGAGGGAGGCAGGTGGGTGAGGGCGATGGGGGAATGAGCTAGGGAAGGGATTGGGTGACAGCCCACCCCATTGGCTTTGGTAACTCAATCCCTGGCCCCACCCTCATGATTTCCCTCCTGCTCAACAACTTCTGCAGCTGCTGGCAGGAGTGTGTGTGAGTGTGTGTGTGAGTGTGTGTGAGTGTGTGTGTGTGTGTGTGTGTGTGTGTGTGTGTGTGTGTGTGTGTGTATGTGGGGGTGGGGAGGAGGATGAGAGGGGCTGTGGGGGCAGGGGTGCTGCCAGGACATGTTTAAAGGAGACTCATAGCCTGGGTACAACTTGGGTGGCAGGAGGAGGTGGGGTAAGTCAGAGAGTGGGTGGTGAGTGATGGGCAGGGGGGCAGGCTGCAAGGGGGCGGGGCAATCCTGCCCAAGGGTCTCACTAAACTTGTTGGCACTAGAGCAGAGCTGGTATCGTGGGGCTGGGCATAGTGAGGAGGTAGGGGCCAGCTGAGCCACAACTCAGTCCTGGATGCTGAGTGAGGCCTGCCTTCACCAGGGGGCGCATGTAACCAGGGAAGACATAGCTGGCCCCTGTCCCTGATCCTTAGGCCATGCCTGCTGGGCAGCACAGCCCTGGTAGTGACTAAGTCGCTTCTGTCCCGGGGCTGGCAAAGTACCAGACTCAGCTCTTCTCGGTAGGTGAGTCACTGCCCTGGCATCTTCCCCGGATGCGGCTGAGTCACCAGGCCATGCCTGCCTGGTAGGTGGGCATCATGCTAGGGCTAGGGTGGTGGTTATATGTCTACCCCCAGTGATGTCTCTGGCCTCTTTCATCTCCTTGCCCTACCCGTAAACCTGCAGGGCCAGGCAAGCATGATGCTTCCCCTACATGCTCTGTTGAGAAGATAAAGGAAGAAGTAGCAGGCTTCAGAATAGAGTGGGATATGTTTGACTTGAAGGAAATGGGGAGTGTGGTGGTGATGGTGGTGGCAGAAGCAGGAGTGTGGAGCAGACGGCTATGGGTTTGAATCCTGGATCTGCATTGACAAACCGCATGACCTTGTTAAAGCATTCATTTTGTTTTGTTTTGTTTTGTTTGAGACCCAGGTTCTTATTCTGTAACCCAGGCTGGCCTGGAACTTACTCAGTCTCAGTCTCCCAAGGACTGGGACTATAAGCATGAACTACCACATCCAGTTGGTTGGCAATTCCTTTTTGAGCCTCAGTTTCCTATTCTGTACTATGGGAACAGGACCCATGTTGGACTGAGAAGGAGTGTATTCCCCAAGACAACTTCAGGGGATACACTTTTTGGATAAATAAGCTGAGAGGTTGGGGAGGAGGAACCAGTTGAGGCTGGTTCTAGCAATGCATCGGTCCTCACCCATCTCCAGGTGGTCCTGGAGAGACAGTCTTTCCCCAGGCCCTCTACAAACTTGCCTTATTGTTTGCATGCATGTTCCAGTGTTCTTTCTCTCCCTCTTTAGGCTGTCTTCAAGCTCCTATTCCTCCCGCTTCCGCTTCTGCCTCCCTTGTGCTGAGATGCTGAGGTTATATACACACACGCGCCACCATGCCTAACTTAATGCTATTCCTTGGTTGTTCTGTTTTGAAACAAGGTCTCACTGCAGCCCTGGCTGGCCCCAGTTGGCCTTGAACTTCAGCAGAGCTCCTCTTGGAGCATCCAAGTGCTGGTGTTACAGGTTACAGGTGTGTGCCACCACTCCTGGCTTGATGCTGTTCTTTAGGAGTTCCCACAGGCTGCAGCTCCTTTGATGACTAGGAACTGTGACTAGGCGCTGTCCCTGGACAGTTCATTACCTACCAGAGCCCTCTTTGGCCTCCACTAGTCTAAAGAGGGACTCTTGTCTTGGGAAAACCAGTGTCTCCCCCCAACCCCACACAGCCTGTCTCCTTTGTGCAGGGATAGTAGAGGCCCTAAGAATCTTTCCTAAAGAGTCCCAGCTCTTCTCTTCCTAGACTCTTGCTATATTCTAAGTATTCTGCTCTCCTGAAACAGCATCCCTGGCAGAAGTAGGTGGGAACCATGTTTTGAGACCAACACAGCTGCTGCCGTGGACTCATGACTCCTGGCCCCCCTACCTAGGGACTTTTGCAATAGGAGGAAGGTAGGGCTGGACTTTGGCCCTGTGGCACAGAGTGCCCTGGGCATGAAGGAAGCCTCCAAAGGTGTGCAGACTGTGTGTCCAATCTTGTATGTGTCTGACCCCTATAGGAAGTGGTTTGTGTGAGTATGGGTTTCCTCCATCATCTCCACAGGGATGTACGGCTATATCTGTTCACAAGCACTGTCCACTCTCTGCTTCATGCCCGTGTATACGTACATACATACATGTCTGTAGGTGCTTTTTTTGTGCTGGGTGTGCATATCTGTCTTGGAGGTGTACACATTCACACCATGAATGTGTGTGGGGTTATGCATTTGTGCCAGGGTGTGTGTGCAAGAAGAGTGTACCTGAATGCATGCGCATGCTGGCCGGTGTGCCTGAAGGTGGTCCCTATGGGAGGCAGTGTAACTCTATTCATGCACACCTGAAGTTTCCTGCCGGTGAACTTTCCCTTTTTTGTCTGAAAGGATCTAGGCTGGGAGGAGCCTGTAGGAGCTAGATAGAGGTGGACTGGCCCTAGGCCCCTCTTATCCTGGTTTCTCACTTGGGTTGGAGGCCCCTGAAGATGGTGGGACTCTGGCTGGAAGGCTCAAAGGGGATGTGTGGGTGGGTTGCTTGGAGGGTAAGGGGTTAAGCGGCGGCCTCCACATCTGGGAGCCATTGGTGCATTCTTGCCTGCTGAGCGCATGTTTGTGGATGGATCTGTATGGGACAGAACGGGACGGGACGGAGCAGGAGGGAGGGGCTGGGCGGGTAGTTAGCACCGGCGGAAATCCAGACAGGAGTGGGAGACTGCTCTGGCCCAGCGGGCGGGAAGGGCCTGGGGAAGCACAGCTCCGCTTTGCCTAGTTTTCCCTTGCGTCGGTCCGACCTCTGGGCAGAGCATCCCACCGACCTGACCTGTGCTACCTTCCTCGGCCGCCGAGCAGAGCCAGAGAGAGACAGGCAGACACCACAGTCCTAGGCTGGGTTCAGCAAACGATGCAACCGTGGACAAAATCCAATGCGGGCCTCGGACCTTCTGTTCCTAGTCTGCAAATCGAGCCACCTGATCAGACTGAGCGTCTCTTCTCGAGGGTGGAGGCCTGGGCGTGTGGCACTTCCCTTTCCAGTGGGATGTCCTGTGGGGGCACTGCCACTTCTCTGCCCAGGAACACGATGAGGGAGGCTCTCCATAGTGGACCCACCCTCCTCCTGTGGACTGCTATAGCGGTAGGGACTTTAGCCTCCCGAATGGCTGGGAAGGGGCTTGTGACAGTTGGGGACTGAGGTCTGAGGTCTGCAGATGGAGTCTGATTCAGATCCTGTCCTGAAACATGCATGAGCTGCCCTGGCCACTCGAGTGGAGCCTTCTAGAATGGAGGGGGTGGGGGTGTCCTGGCTGACCCAAGAGCTTATCTTTTGGTATGATGATACGGAAAAGCTAGCTGCTCGGAGGAATTGCATTGAGTTAGAAAGTTTCCTCTAACCCACTCGAGCTGGAGAGGTGTTGGGGAAAGACAGTCGTATGGAGAAGACGTCCACTCTCTGTACTTGGGTTTTGCAGATGAGAAGTATAAAGGTCCAGAGAAGGGAAGTGGCTTGCTCAAGGTCAGATAGCTTTCAGTTTCAGCTGGCCCCGGAGGATTGTGATTAGGAGAGACAAAGACTTGACAGCTGGGGCAGGAGTCAGTGCGTTCTCTTCCATATTACACCACCTCCTCTCTTCCCAGGTTTAGTAGGTGTGTGTGATGTGTGTGTCCCTGGGAGTGTGGGCGTGTAGCTGGGGGAAGGGAGTGTGTAGGGTACCGCACACTGAGGTTCTTTCTCCGCCGAGTCTTATTTTTATTCTTTTCTCTGAGCTTCACACACACACCCCCTTCTCGCTCTGAATCTCTTTCTGGCGTTTTGAGGGAGGGATTCTCCAAGATTCCCACGGTCCAGCCGTCGGCTGGAAGCGTCTCCTCTTAAAGGAGTCTTAAACTCGCCCTTCCCTGGGTCTATTAAGGAGAGAGGGACGGGTGTGAGCCGGAGAGCCCGCCCCCGGCTAGTGATTGGCCCGTGGCTGCAAAGGGCGGGCCTTCGAGACGGGGAGCCTCCCTCCCACCCCGGCTCCATACCCTCCGCCCCCCCAGTCTGGGGCTCCGGGTAAAGTTTCAGCCTCCGCACGTGACTCGCCATGGCCGCTGCCGTCGCCCCGCGCCCCTGAGCCGCGGCCCCCCGGACGGCTCCTCTCCGAGGACCTCACACCCCTGACTCCGGCAGTGTCGAGGCGCCGGCTTGGGGCAGACGCTGTGCTCACAGACACCCAGACGGGGTTGCATCCCCTCGCTTCGAGGTAACCTCTCCCCCGGGATCCTGGGGAGCCCTCGGCTTTCTCACGTATCGGGCCCGGTGGCCTGCTCTGGCTGGGAGCTGCGGGCGGGGACTGGGTGCCGGGCGGTTTCGACGGGGACCCGGGGTTTCCTGGGCTTCCCAGCCTGCCGCTGGCGTGTCCGGGGTTGGGGAGCCCCGTCTGCGCCGCATCTTCGCGCGCGCAGCCTTGAGGCTTCTGCGGCCGTCTGCCGCCTGTGTCCCCGGCACTCCAGCCGTGGAGGATCCACCGCTGGGAACTCTCCTTTTCTCTTCAAAACCAAACCAAACAAAAAGACTTCTTGAAACCTGTTTGGGGAGAGATCAGATGCCCAACTGACTAGCCCCCTCCTACTCTCTCTCTTGTTACCTGAGCCGCCCTGTGGTTTGGGGAGAATCAGCCAGGGGGCCCACCCCCACCAGAGGGAACTGGCTGGGGGGGGGGGCCCGCTCAGCTGGTTTCTCGGTTGGAGTGTGGGGGAGCCGTCAGAATTGGGTGCGGGAGCCAGTGCAGTTGTGTGAGATGCGCCTGTGTCTTGTGTTACTTGGAGGTTGTGGAAGCCTTTTGGGGTGAGGGAAGGACAGAATAGACCGGCCGACCTTGCTTTACTGAGGATGTCTGGGATCTAGTGCCACCCACGAGGCTTGGAAGCTGCTAACCAGATGTGTGTATGTTGAGGGGTGGTTGGCAGATCAGTTTAACTGTGTCCCCTTTTCCTCTCTGGGCACTGCCCTGCTGTCAGACTGTTCATGGGAAAGGGGGACAGATCCCCCAGTGTGCTAGGCTGGGGGTGGGGGCCAACCCATATGGAAATAATTTAAAAAGCAACAACACACACACAAAGCAACAACAACTCAGTCTTGAGAAGTTTCTTGGGTTTTTGTTTTTTGTTTGTTTTCACTGCCCATCCTGTCTTGGATAGGACACCCATGTTGGCATGGAAGGAAAGGTACCCCCTGCTCCTACCTGGTGCCAGCTCGCGATTTCGAAGCCAGATTGTTACCTTCTGCCTGCTGGGTGCACGTGTGTGCTCTCCAACAGAATTGTTTCCTCTGCCCTTTGCTCCTTATATCAACTCTTGGTTCTGCTCTTGACCCACCCCGCCAGCATGGGGACCCCGGAGTGCCGTCCCCTTACTCTAGCTGAAGGCTTCCCAAGGCAGACGGTTTGGGCGGAGGACTTAGTAAGGACTCCTAAGTCGTGCTAGGAAATTAGGGGTCAGGCCCCCAAACTCCTCCAACTTCTCCAGGACTATGTGTGGAGACATAGCTGGGGAAGGCCCCAGGTTAGAGTGGGGGTACTCTGGAGCCTTGGGGCTTCCCCTGGGAAGGGTGGAAATGAGTCTGGGGGTGGAACAAGAAGAGTTTTTGGTGTTAGGTGTGTGGTTCTTCCTTGTGAAGAAGGATGTGGAGTCAGAGTTCGTCGCAGTGAAAGATGGTACCCTGGAAGGGACTGGTGCATCGGTACTGCCTGGGAAGTCTGGGTCATGAAGCAGGGAGGTCAATGGGGTCAGACTCAAGGAGGCCCTTGGGAGCCTACGATGGTGGAGTTGCAGGCACTTGGAGGGTGTGAGCCTGCGGTGTGTGCAGAAGGCCGTCCCTGCAGGAGTTTCTCAGATCTAGTGGCAGTCAGTTCTGAGAAGATGCTGGGCTGGGAATTAGCCTTGTCCTGCCACAACCCTAAATATCTATCTCTTTAGTCTGACCCTAAATGCACCTGCTGCCATCCTGGGATACCTCTCTAGTTCACCTCCTACTCCTAACCATGTGGCAGCCTGGCAGGAAGCTAGCTGTAAGCAGCCTGATCACCCCTGTGCCTCCCCCGATGGGCACAGTCACCCACACATGCCATGACGTTGTTCCTGCCAGCCTGTCTAGTGTGGGGGTGAGAACACTGAGTGGCCTTCAGGTCTGTTTGGGGGACACCGGTGGATCCTGATGGGCTGCCCTTTCACTAGCCATTTCGTCTTTGAAGCTGGCTCTGCCTTCTGGGATCTTTCTCACCAGGTCTCTCTGCTCAGGTTTTGAGGTTTTAGCTGGATGGTCCTCAGAACTGTGTGATACAAGGGGCGACATACCATGATATAGACCTAAATGTTCAGATCCCTGTCCCGAGGGATGCCTGAGCAGGGAAGGACCTCTTCTCAGTTGGAGGGGAGATGAGTAGAGCCCTCGGTGTGTGTGTGTGGGTCTTCTGGGGAGCACTGCCTATGATCTGGGGAGCACTGACTAGGATCTAGGGTGATGGATGTCTGAGGAAGGTAATCCTATCCCTTGACAAATAAGCACAGTAATCCACTCCCAGCACCCCACACCCCTGTCTGGTGGTGGTGGTTTTAGGAGTGTGGGAAGCTGGCAGAGCCTCTGGTGAGATGACCAAGGTTGTCATGACTTACTGAGTCTTGAGAAGGAAGTGTAGCCAATGATACCCCCAGCTCGCAAAGCTTTGGCTAGGCATCTTAGCTGCCGCCTGCTGTCTTTCCTCCTGTGTTTCCCTCTCCGCCCTCCCGCTGCTGTCTGGAGCCCACAGGGTTTCTGTGGGATGTGGGGGCAGGGCAGGCTCTGGCTCTCCTTGTGTGTCCAGGAGGTGTTCTGGGAATTGGCAGGATTAGTTGAGGGTGTCTGGGTGTCCCTGCAGGGTGGGCGTCATGCGAGGACCTGGCCCAGAGTGTGAGAATGTGTCAGCGTTGGTGTGTGTGTCCCTAGTCTGGGTTGGGTGTGGGTGTCTCTTGCTTCGTCTGGATCTTGTCTGGATCTTGCCTCCCTCTCTGGTCCTCACACCCCTCCACACCCCCCCCCACTCCAAAGCTGGGACCGCCTGCCTGCTTTCCTCTCACTGCAACTGGAACCTCCCTTGCCTGTTCCAGGAATTTGGTAAGGAGGAGGAAGAGGCAGGCAGGCAGACAGACAGACCTCCCACGCTCTAGTCCACCCGCTAGCCTGGCATCATAGGAAAGACGAAATAGGTGCTGTGGTAGGTTTTGCCTGGCTGCATTGGTCCCTCCATCACATAAGGGCTGCCTCTTGCAGAGGTCCCTAGTTTGCCCTGAGATACCTCCTTCCATTTAGCATCTTGCCCCAAAAACCCCCTGCTGGACCTCCAGGCTCCACACTCAGTCCCAGTAGCTGGTGGGGGATTAAGCTGCTGCCAGCCTGGCCAGCACCTGTTGCCAACTCCTGCCTTGTAACTGGAGCTGGCCAGTGAGGGGGCTGCAAAATGACAGGTGGAATTTCTCCAGCCAGCCCCCAGCCTCTTCTAGATATGCCTTTCTCTTCTGGTTGGAACTGGGAAAGCCCATCCCCCACCTCTGCAAGTGTCTACCTAATCTGAGTCTTGATGCTCCTATCCTGCCTGAGGACCCTTCTACCCCATCAGTGGCTGCTGCAGAGTTAGGCAGCCCGCCTTCAAGTTCTTAGAGCTCTCCTGCCTTGACTGGGCATGAGTGTGTATTCGTGTGTGTGTGTGTGTGTGTGTGTGTGTGTGTGTGTGTGCAAGCGCGCGCGCTTTGGGGGGGGTAGATGGGGTAGTTCTCTTAATGTTTTAATTGCATAAAACTGGGAGCTCAGCTCTCGGCCGGTGGGGAGTCTGGGGCTGGCTGGCCGCCCGGTTTGAGCTAAATATAGCCTGGGACATCTGCAGAGAAGGGGAGGGGAGTGGAGGGAGGTTCCATTCCCCTCACCTCAGCCAAGGTGCCCTCGCCTGGGCGGGCACCTTGGAACAGGCATCGGGGATTCCTCAGCACAAAAGGCAGGGGAGTGGTGGTAGAGGCTGGGCAATTTCGAATTTGCCTGCTTGGAGCCACCGGAAAACCAAAACGAACCTGGAGGCTCAGGCTAGGACCCCTGTGGGATACATGGGGTACTGGTTAGGTCCTCTGGCCCTGGCCCCCTCTTCCCCAAAGTTGACTAAGGTCAGGCAGCCTCAGCTCAGCGTGTCACGGTGACCTACTCGCTGTGTGCCTTGAGTACACACCTATGGGGTGGCCCCTCCCCGCCCCTCCCCCGGAGCATCTGTCCCTGGGGCTCTACTGCGGGTCCCCAGCCCTTCTGTCCCTTGCCCCACAGCGAAACCTTCAGCCCAGGAATCGAGACTTGAGAAGGGGAAGCTGTGGCATGGAGTTCTCTGATCTCCAGTCACGGCAGGAAGTGGAGAGGCGGGGGATGAAGGGGGGTAACCTTGAGTGGCAGGTGGAGGAGGGCACTTCGAGCCCTGCATGAACTGACCGTGCACACAGTGGTGGGGTGTACACCCATCTCACGGCCCCATCTTCTCTCCAGCTCCAGGTAGGGGAATGTTGGGGGACAACAGCTGATTCCCCAAGGGCTGCAAACTCTCCTGTCAGCACCCCCCTCTTACAGTGAGGGAAAAAAAAAGTCTTCCTGTCACGTGCTCATCACTTCCTGTCCCACTGTGGTTCCTGGGATGTTTGTTGTTGGTTGCCATGGTGATGGCCGCCGTAGGCACTACCCCTGGTTTTTGTGGGGAGGGATCTGCCCCTCCCCTCAAGGCCCACAATTGGGAGGGGGTGCTTGGGAGGCCTGACTAGGGGGCCCTTTCAAGCTGAGCCTGTGTGTGTGGTCTCTGACGACTCAGGTCCCTTAGGGCCCTCAGACTTCTGTCTGTGGGAAGGAGTCACAGCCACCTACTCAGACTGTGTTGGGAAGACTGACTTGTGGCTGTCACTGTGTGAGACTGATTTAGTGGCTGCAACCCCTCAGTCTGGGTCCTTCTGCCTCTCCAGACATCACTTCATAGACCCTACCTTCCTCTCTCCAATCCTTCCTTCCTCCCTGGAGAGTTTGTGGCTTCTTGGGACCCACGGTGGAATATATAGGACTCTGGGCCACCGGGTCCCTGATGGGTGGGGAGACAGCAGTGGCTCTGCCGCCAGCTGGCTCTCCCATACACACACCAGCTTCCCTCTGCTTCAGCAAGCGCTACTCGTGAAGGGAAGACCCAAGAGTTCAATGACTAGTTTTCTCCACCCAACATGGGCTTCTCTGCTTGGCTAAGCATGGAGAAGGGAAGAGATTCCCCCTGATTCTTGCTGGACTTAGGGGCTCCCTGTGGAGTAGGAAGTTCCTGGGGGGTCCTAGGGTGTGGGATTGTGGGGCAGGGCCCAGTCTGACTCAGGCCTGGTCTGGGGTCAGAGCCAAAAGGATATCCTGAGCTAGGAGGAGGTGTTCCTGGCTTCCCTGCAGCTTGGGTCCCTGGGGAGGGATGCTGGGAGGGGACTGGTAGCATCTAATTCTATTGGCAGTGTGCCCTAGGACCCAGAATGCAGCAGGCTGGCTTGGGACTGAGCTGAGGCGATGAGTGGGGGATTGGATTGATGTGGCCCACCTCTACTTGCTGCTGCCCAGCTTGCTTCTCTGATCCCCCCACACACCTTCCCCTAATTATGAGTGAACTGTACTTCCTGCATGATGGAGAGGAGGTGGGGGGGCAGCTGCCAAGGTGAGGGTGGGGAAAGCCCCATGCCAGGCTGGGTATGCACACCGGTGGTTTCCAAGCTGGGGGGTCCCCTTTGTGCCTGTTTGGTCCCCCATAGATAGAGTTGCTTTTGTACAGTCCACACACTCCTGTGGTCTGGCTGTGGCCAAGGCAGGCTCATTTCTTCCTCTTCCTGTTTTCTTCCTTCCCCATGGGTTGGCCTCCTCTTCCTGTAGGCCTGGGCTGCCCCCTGCCCTTTCACCTACTCTGATTCCATGGAAGACCCAGTTATTGCCCTGGTTCTGGATGGGCCCCTCGGCCACCCTGGGCTTGGGAAGTCCTGAATGAATATGTCCCTCAGGAACTCTGAGGTATTGTCCCTAGAGGTATGGGGAAGAACCCCTACTCCTTTCTCTTGGGACCCAACTTGTCCTTATATTCTCTGATGGATCCGCATGCTTGCTAGTCATTCACAGGTGACATGTGGCACCTAGGAGATGGGGTGGAATTTTGGTTTCGTGGAGTGTAAATTGAAGATGTCTGGGGATCATTCTTGTGGGAATGGGGTGCTGTGTCTTAGTGTGGGCAGTGTTGGTATCCAGCAGCAAGACACCTCGCTGACCTCTAGCGAGGGCATGCTCAGGGCTTGCCTTCACACTCTGGGGCAGGTTGACCAGCCAGGCCTAACTGTAGAGACACAGTCTAGCAATGTGTAGTGCTGGTGGGAAAGAGCATGCCTTCCACCTGGTTGTGCCTTTGGTCGTCTCTCCCTCAGTAAGGCTGAGTGGTGAGGCTGAGCGTGCCTGTGAGGAGGAGAGAGAGAGCTATGACTGGGAGGACCCTTGGAGAAAAGAGGGTGGTACAACTGCTTCCCAACCCGGTCTGCAGATGAAGCTGTGGGGGAGGGGAGGGGAGAGGTTGTGGCTTTGTGTGTACAAGTATTTTTCCTGGAAAGCTTATAAATAGTTCTAGCCCACTGTTCTGGTTTGAAATCTGTCCTGTCCCGCCCCACCCCTGCCTGGCCAGCTCAGCTAACTTCAGGCAGGGTTGGGGGTCCAGAGGACGTATGGCTCCCCTGTCTTGCCAGCGCTGGAGGCCCTCCCACCCAAGTTGAGTTTGAGCCCTGTGTCTCATTTGCAAATGACTCATTAACTGTCTAGAATGCTTAGGAAACCCCCATCTCCCCTTGTTTTAAGTTCCCCAGGCTTTGCCCCTTCACTCAGCCCCTTCAGAGGGAACTGCTTAGGGCTGGGTATGTAACTTGGTTGGTAAAGTGCTTGCCTGGCGTGCAGGAAACCCTGGGTTCTGTCCCCAGCACCATGCAGACCTGTCATGGTGGTGCATGGCTGTCGCACCAGGATTCTGGAAATGGAAGCCAGAGAATCAGAAACTCAAGGTCATTAGCTAGTCTGAGGCCAGCTTGGGTGGCAGACCCTGTCTCAAGACTGTAAATAAAACAGAGGGAACTGCTTGACTTCGATCTCTGGAGAACCCTCGTTTTGAAGGAGCATAGAGTGGAGAGGATGAATAAAGAAGGGGGGTTGGAGGGGTGGATCAGCTAGGTTTGGGGGCCTTTGAGTTCTCTCTCCTGAGGACACGGGAGGAAATGGTCTATTTCTCTTCCCTCCCCACATCCAAAGATTTCCCTTTTTTGGTTTGTGAAATGCAAGAAGGGAATTTGGGAAAGGGTTGTGGTCAGGCCTCTGCCCACACCCCAGATAGCCCTCTCCCCACAACCCTACCCTCTGTCTGGGAGGAAGCAGATCCAAAAAATGGGTAATGTTCCCTGCTAGCCCTGTTCACAGATGCTGGGCCTGGTTGGGACAAGGCAAGGGAGAGGAGGCAATGAGCCCAGGGGCCCCAGGTGATGGAAAGAGACTCCCCCCATACACACACAGGGGGGGGGGGACACGTAAGTGCCTTCCCTGCACCAGGCGGTGCTAGGTGCTTTCCAGGACCTCGTTTATCAAGGAAGACAGTTCACAGGCAAGCAAACATGCTTAGAGAGGTTAAGCCACTTGCCTAAGGTCACCCAGAGTGGCAGAGCTGAGATTGGACTCCTCAGACCTCTAGGTTTTTTTATCCTATCTTCACGGCTGTTGAAGCTTTCACCTTTTTTTTTTCCCCCTAAAGTGTGTAGCTCTGGAGTGATGTGCCTGGTGTGTGTGTGTGTGTGTGTGTGTGTGTGTGTGTGTGTGTACTTGATGGGGATTAAAGAGCCCTGTTAGGAGGGATGGCTGGTGGCTACGTGCTTGCTTCTCACCCTGTTTTCTGCTGGATTGGAGGTACGGGTCTGTGGTTTTCTAGCTCAGGGTAGGGTGCCTATGAGCAATGGAGGTTGCTGGCAGAGGGTGGGGGTTAGATGTGGGTAGCTTGTTTTCCGTCTTTGGTGTTGGTTTAAATTCTCTGGCCTGGGCACAAGGGGCCAGAGCGCAGGCATCCCTGTGAGGGTCATGGCTCCCAAAGGACTTTGGAAGCTCCGCCTCATCATCTTTGCCCTTGCCTATCCCTGTTCCCTGGTCAGCTTGGCCCTTGGCCCATTTCTGTGACCTTTGTCCCTGCCCTCATCAGAGAGCCCTCCCTCTTCCCTCATGGAGCCGAACAACTTTGCATTGACGTGTGTAGGCCCAGCTGGGTTGGGATACTAGAGGCTGAGGCCTTCCAGACTCTCCCCCAGGTGTGTGTTTTTGGGGTAGACTGGTGGTTTGAAGCCTGATGCAGTTTTAACCTCTTCAGAGGGAGACTCGAGGCATTTATTCTAAGGTAGATACCACTAGTCTTCTGTGTGGGCAAAGCTGGGTTCTAGAATGTGAAAGTCACCCAACCCCCAAAAGCAAGGTCAGGATGCCTCAGGTTTGGAGTGAGTAGCTTTCAGGCTTCAGCCATAGCTCTGGTGTCCTCTCTTTGTTCAGCTGCCTCTCTAGGTTTCACCTATAGGGAGGTAAGCCGCTGGGTAGACATGAATCCACTTGAGGGTTGGGGAATCCTGGTATATGTTGATATGGGGGGCGCATAGTTTTATGGATGGCCTATAGGAAGGGCCTTGGACATCTCCTAGCGTGAGAAGCGGGCCCACGGGTAAGCTAGGCTGGGAGCAAAATGCGCATTTTGGGTGACTGTAAAGCAGCAGTTGTATGTCTTCTGGGAGTGCACAGAGGAGCCCATGCACACAAGTCCTGAACTGAACTTGGTGTATGGTTGGGGCCAGGTGTGGAGAGATGCTATCTCCAGGCTGCCTCTACTCACACGCCTGACTACAGCAGTGCCCCTGCCCACCCCGATGTTTTCTGTAGGCTTGTATGTGGAGGAGGTATCTGTGTGAGGGTCCATGTGTAGACGTTTGTTGATAAGCCAACCAGCTCTCCTCCTTATGCCTGGCCCTTGCAGCCCATGTTCCTGTTGTATGGGATCTTACAGCAGCTGGCCCTGTAGGTGGAGCCCCTGTTTTTCTCTGCCATCAGTCTGTGAAGGGAAGGGGACACCTCATCCAGGAGTGAAGCCCAGTGGTTGGTGTGACAAATTATGGTGGAGACCATGGTCATTAACACAGTGCAGATTCCACACAACTGGCAGCTGTTGATTCTGTGGCCACTACCTGCCTTCTTTCTCCCTGTCTTCCTCAGTGGCCACTACCTGCCTTCTTTCTCCCTGTCTTCCTCAGTGGCCACTACCTGCCTTCTTTCTCCCTGTCTTCCTCAGTGGCCACTACCTGCCTTCTTTCTCCCTGTCTTCCTCAGTAAACAGTCGACAGACTGCTCTTCCACAGTGGCCTTGGCAAGAATCTCTCCATCCTCATCCTGGTCCCCAGCCAAATGCTGGTTATGTGTGTCCCCCAGTCTCCAGGTTTAAGCCTGAAGCTTGGAGCGTAGAGCTTGGAATGTCCTAAGTTTGGGGAGTAGGGATGAAGGGAGAATGTTGGAAAAGGACAATTCTTACTTTAGGCCTCTGTAGCCCTCCTTTTTTTCTCTTAAAGAACTTTACTGAGATATTAACTTACCACAAAATGCACCCTTTAAAGTATACAGTTTAAGCCCAGCATGGGTGGTATACCCCTATAATCTCAGTCCTCCGGAGGTTGGGACAGAAAGATTGCAAGTTCAGTGTCAGAGTGAGTGAGTGAGTGAGTGAGACCTTTTAAGAAAGAACCCAGAAAGACAAGGAGCACACACAATCGAAGTTTTCACGTTTATAGTCATGCACCACCGCCACCACTGACTTTAAAGCATTTTCACCACCCCCAGGAGTTAGCAGTTACTTCTCATTTCCCTCACACTCACACCCTAGTTCCTAGTAACCACAAATCTATGCATGCAGATCTGCTCCTCCTGAACATTCTTAGAAGTCGAATCATACAACATATGATCTTTGGCAACTGTATTGTTCTCAAGGCTTGGCCACGTCTGTGCGTCAGTTCTTTGTTCTCTAGTGTATTGGGTATCCACCATTTTAGAAACCTTTGGGTTGGCTTTACTGCTCAGTTTTGATCTGTGATCCTGCCCTGAACATGTTCACACAAACCTTTTTTGGGCATGACTTCCATTGTCTTGTCTCTTGAGTAGATACCTAGGAGTGGACTTGCTATGTGCACCAGTGCCATGTTTAAGTTTTTGAGGAACTGCTCAACTGTTCTACAAAGCAGTCACACTTCCAGCAGCAGTGTGTGGATTCATTTCTGCATATTCTCAACCAGTACTTCTTGTCTGACTTGAATGTGTACACAAGTATGTATGTATGTGTGGAGGCCAGAGGCCAATGTTGAGTGTCTTTTTTTTTCTCTCTCCCTCTTTGGATTTTTAAGATAGGGTTTTTCTGTATAACAGCCCTGGCTGTCCTGGAACTCACTCTGTAGACCAGGCTGGCCTCAAACTCACAGATACCCACCTGCCTCTTCCTTCCTAATGCTGGGATTAAAAGCATGTGCCATGATGCCTGGCTGGATGTCTTTGCTCAATAGCTCTCCAACTTAGTTTTTGAGCTAGCCTGGAGCTTACTGCTACAGTTAGGCTTTCTGCCAGCAAATGTCAGAGATCTTCCTGGCTCTGCCTCTCCTGCACTAAGATTACAGGTGTGTGAGTGACACTGTGCTTGGCTTTTTACAGGGTTGCTGGGTATCCAAAGTCAGATCCTCGTGCTTGTATAGCAAGCCGTTTATACCAACAGAGCCAAATTCCTAGGCCCTGTTTTCTGGTCACAGTCATCCCAGTGTGTCGACATTTAGGAGTATTCTTGGGAACAGCACCTGACAGATGGACAGAATGAAGAAAGACCTGGTTTTGATTGGCTGTAATTTATTTTTGTGTCTCTTCTATTATATGTATGTATGATATGTGATACATATAATGTATAACACATATTTATTTTCAACACATGTTCCTATATATGTGTATGTACTTGCGTATAATCTACACTCAAACTGCTTCTCCTTTTTTCTGTCTGTTCTGCTGCTGCCTACCTGGCTGTGTCACAGAATCTGTAGGTCACAGCTGCATCTGTACTCCAAGGTGTGATCCGTGTATACCCTCTGGCCTCAGCTGTTCAAATAGGGTGTGGGTCTGTGTGATCGGGGAGCATCTGGCCTCGCATGGCCTGTGCTTACCACCTCATCTCCTGCGTGTCACTTTTGCAGATAGAAGTATGATGAAGTCTGAATTTGGTCTCTCTTGATGCTGGGGGCAGGGACTTCCATCCTGGGCAAGCCTTGCCTTCCTGACTTAGGACTTCCCAGGGCCACTGGTACTGTTTGGTATTGGAGATGTCGCCTAGGAGACCTGGAGATCCATTTTCCTGAGTGTATATATGGAATTGGGAGGGGTGTACTGATCTGGGGTGACGGGTCTTAGGTTTGGGGGGAAGTGGTGTGAGAGCCCCCTCCCACCCAGGAGTCATTTTTCTGAGAAGTGCCAATGCTTTAGGGAAGCGGCTTCTCCCCCCGCCCCCCCTGCCAGCACACGTTCTCTGTATCTTGACCTCAGGTAACCCACACTGGGGGAAGGAGAACCAGCTGCCTGCCTCAGCTGCACTCATCTTTGGGGTGGCACTGTGGACCCTTTCCTAAGCATTCTGGGTGAGGCCCTCCCATACTCTGGGCCCTGTCCCTATATTCCCAGTCTGGCTGTGCTCTCCTGCCACCCCCAGCAGCGTCTGGGCCCTGGTCCCAGGCTGGCCCTGCCAGCCAGGCATGGTGCCAGGTGTCTGCTCATCTGGGTGCCACAGGAAAATCTCTGGCTGCCCAGGTTGGGGAGCACCGTAGGGAATCCCGTGCGCCTGCCCAGTGCCCACTTACCTGTCTTTCCTCTTTCTGCAGCACCACAGGCCATGCCACCCCCCAGCTGCCTAGCTGGGGCCCTTCTGAGAGGGCCATCCTTTTTGACACCCTGAAGACCAGCTCTGGACCATCCTACAAAAGTGTCTGCTCGCAAAACTGCTTAACCAAAGGACCGACTCTTGGGACATCCCCCAGTCCACCTGGCCCCTGGCTAGGGAGGGGGCTCCAGAAGGCTGAAAGTAACTAACTTTGGATTGCAGCTCCAGGGACAGAAGGGGGTGGGGGTGGGCTGACCACCCAAACCCCCTCTGGGCCCAGGCCCCATGCCCGGAGGAGGAGAGACTGCGTGAAGCCCACCTCAGCTGCCTGCCAGACTGTTTGCCTGCCACTCTGACTGTGATCGCTTGGCATGGCCAGCAATAGCAGTTCCTGCCCAACCCCTGGGGGCGGGCACCTCAATGGGTACCCGGTGCCCCCCTACGCCTTCTTCTTTCCCCCTATGTTGGGTGGACTCTCCCCTCCAGGAGCTCTCGCCAGTCTCCAGCACCAGCTTCCAGTTAGTGGATACAGCACGCCATCCCCAGCCAGTAAGTCTAGGTGGGGAGGCTCGGGGGAGGGCCTGTGGAGGGTGGCAGGCCTCAGGATTTGGGTTCCTAGACACATCCGTTCTGCTTGAGGCACAGTGCGTGATAAGGTCTTTTCTAGACTAGAGGGACCATTGTATGTGTGTGTGGGGGTGCTTGAAGATGGTCCCACTGCTGTTAGCCAATCAGTGGTTGTTTGATGTTGGGGTGGTAGAGGAGAGATGAAACCATTTTGTCCCTTCCTGCATTGTTGTCCCCCTTTGTGCCTTGTGTCCCTGGTGCTGCGCTATTGAGGGCCTTATAAATAGCTCTGAGGAGGAATGGATATAGAGGCCGAGGTGGATAAACAAACCTCTCAGCATTTGGTGGAAGTGACAGCTCCACACAGTGAGAGTGCACCCCACCTCCACCCCACCCCCTTCCAGCACCCTGAGGGAAAGGGCTTCAAGAGACAGCCCAGGGCAGCTCAGCACAGCTGGAGCCCTTGCACTCCCCCTGCCAACTCCCCCGCCCCTCAGAAGGACAGGGAGGGACTCCATGGGGGCTTTCTGCCTGGACTCTGGCCTTGGACACATGCGCAGGCTTGGCAGGGCCTGTGTTTTCTGCCTCTGTCCTCTGCCACAGGGTCACAAGTTGGCTGGGTGGGGGTCTCAGTACCCTTCCCTAGCTGGCCAAGCCAGGTAGTGGGAGGTGGCAGTGGCTATGGCCAGCTGGCAAAGTCCAGGCTTGGGGCCTGCCAGGCCGCTTACAGTAACTCTGGCCCCCAGGGCCCAGCTGGGCTCCGGGCCAGGGCCTAGGAGGAGGGAGCTGGGCCTGGCCTGGGGCAGGAGGGGGTGGAAGCAGCAGAGCAGGCCATGGCTGGCTGGCTGGCTGGCTGGCTGGTCAGCTGCTGACCTGGGAAATGTGTCCCACCTCTCCTGGTTGGCAGGGACTAAGCACCCTCCCTGGCACTCACTGCCCCTCCCACAGCCATTGGCAAGCTGCCTGGCACCACTGCCCTGTGTGCCCGGCTGGGCTGGGTCAGTGCCCCCATCTTGGTGTGGGGGCAGCACTCTGTCCCCGGAGCCAGGGAGTCTCTTTGTCCCTGGGGCAGGCTCTGGCTGGGCGCCTCGCTGCCCACAACTGGCCCTCTGCCCACAGCCACCACTGCTTCCTGGGCTGCCGCCTCTGGCTTTGTCACAGCCCCCTCCCTTCCAGGCCCCACCAGCCTTCAGGAGCAGATATAGTCTATGTCCAATCCCTTACGTTGTCTGTAGGGAGCAGACAGGTGCTGCCTCAGTTTCCCCCTGCTAGCAACTCCTCAAGCCTTTGCCTTTTATTTCTACCTTTTCTTCTCTCCACCTTACACAGGAGCGTCTGAGGACCCTGTTCTGTTCTGATTTTCTAGTGTCTATTGCTGGGGATTGGGCCAGTGTACCTATGTAAAAATAACTCCCTGCAGCGCCCTCCCCTGGGGGGCGGACACGTCTTTAGTCCCAGCCCTCTGGAGGCTGAGGCAGGTGGATCTCTGAGTTCAAGGCCAGCCTGGTCTACAGAGCAAGTTCCAGGCTAGCCAGGACTACACAGAGAAACCCTGTCTCAAAAACAAAACAAAACAAAACAATAAAGAAAAATGTTCCCTGCATTTGAAGGGAGCTAGATAGAGCTCACATTGTCACCCATTCCAGGAGCTGGGAGAATTATACTTCCAGGCTGGAGTTAGGGGGCCTGCAAGCTGGTACCTGTGAACCACTTGTGATGGCAACCATGTGATGGCAAGCAACAGGGGGCTGGACAGGGAGACTCACTGGAGGGCTGCAAGGGGATTTGGGATCTGACCCCTGTGAGAAACAAAGTAAATTTTCTGCCTTCCCCCTGAGTGTTGCAAACTCCTTCCTCTTTCTTAGAGGTGGGTGGGGAGAGCCCCCACCCTGGTAACCCACTCCCAGGGTGGGGTGCCCATATTTCGGGCAAATGGCAGCCTTCTTTGGCTTTCTCCACCCAGGTTAGGCAATGCCCTCTTCCTGCCCCCTCCTCTATGAGTTTGTGGGTTTCCCACCCCTCCCCCTCTCCTAGTAAACAACAACATCTCTTCCTCCCTACTCCCCAGCCTCTGAGTGCCTTCTAGGACCAGGGAGGCAGCTAAAATTTCACACCTTTAGTCTCTCCTTGGGACTAGGACAGAGGTCATGCAGTTCCTGGAGGTGGAAAGTAACTTTTCTTCCGTTTCTGCATGGAGCACTGATGATGCTCTGGCAATCTCCTAGGCTCCCTGCTCCAGCCCCATATCACAAAGCTGTTGGAGATGGCCTCCCCTTGCTGGCCCTCTTCTAGGTTGCACCTTAGGTGTTTTGCATGAGTTCTTCAGAGAGCAGGTGACCTGTGGGTGGCCCAGGGACTCTTTAGGTCACCATGGGGAGGTTAGGTATTGTCCTGACCTCCTGCTAGTCTCCTAGGGTGGTGGAGGCCCCAGAGATAGCACTAGACTCCTGTCCCGGTGGTGGTTGGCCCCTGCGGTGGTTGGCCCCTGCTGCCTGGTGTTTACTGTGGAGGTTTAGACTTGTGTGCAGTGTGAGGAGGGTCAAGGTTGTGTGTTTTTTTTTTTTTTTTTGCGGGGAGGGGGTCAAGGCTGAGTATGTTAAGAAGGGGGATTAATGGCTTGTGTATACAGGATGAGAGGGTTCTAGAATTCAGTGTTTGAAGAGAATCAAATCCAGAGCTGAGAAGGTGGATGCCAGCCTGTATGCTGGGACTGTGTATGGGGCGGGAGCATGGTTTAGGGCAGAGGTTTAAGGGCTTGTGGGTGGTATGGACTTCCTTTAGCTGTGTTTGGGAAAAGAAGAGCAGTATCTGTAATGTTCTTGGGTTCTCTGGCCTGAGGACAAGTGGTGAACTTTGTCGTCTTATGTACCCTTGGGACTCCGTGGGCTTCGAGGTTAAAAACTTGGACATCGTGTCCCTTATATGTTGGTCTCCTGGGATCTCTCCCCTTCTGTAACTCAGGGACATTACCAGATACCTAAGAGGGCCAAGTTAGTCTAGCACATTCAGGTGTGTGCTGCCTGGCACGTGACCCAGGAGAATGGGAAGCTGCTGGGCAACCTACTCTGGGTCGGGACTTTGTGCCTGGACTGACTGTTCCAGTAGTGGCACCTTGCCCTGACAAAGGAGATAGAAGATGAGACGCTACATACAGTGCAGGAGAGCTATCCTGGGCTGCAAAACAGACCTGTTTCCCACCATCCAGACAGGCAGCTTTAGAAGGAGATTGTGGGGGACATTCTGGAGTGTGGGAAGAGTATTGAGGCCTCAGTGCTCTTGTTGAATCTTGTCCTGGTTGCTGGAGACCCTGCCTCTGACTTCTCCCAGTAGGGGGCGCAGGGAAGGACACTCCCCCACCCCCATGCCTGCCTCCTCCTGTGTTTTGGATTGGGGGACTGGAGAGAAAGATAAGAAGCCCAGGGAAAAAAATCTCCATCCTGCCCTGGAAGCTGTGGATACAATCTGTTCACACCCCCGCCCAACCCCACTCTGCCCTCTTGCAGCCCAGCAAGAACACGAGCTTGCAGAACTCAGCGGCAGCCTCCTCCTACCTCATCCCCAGACAGACTCCAAAGGAACAGAGTGTAAAAGCCATAGTTCTTCTACATATTTTGTTGCAATTTGTGAGGTGGGGGTGGGTAGAAGCAATCAATAGAAAAGTTGACACAGGAACCTGAGAGGGTGGCTACAGATTTTCCTTCCACATGTTGGCCGAGTACTTGTCTAGATAGAGGGATGTGGTCCCCTCCTCCTCCCTGTCTTCCCAGAGCCCAGGTTTCCAAAGGAGGAGGGTGTGTGCTTTTCTCCTCATCCCCTGCTCGGCTGTTCCCCTAGCTTCTTTCATTCTTTCCAGGACAGTAAGAAGGACAGCCTCGGGGATGGGGTGCTGCCCACCTATGCCTTTCTTGGGGTCCAAAATGCAGTCAGACCAAAGACCTTCAGATGGGGTTTTCATTGAAAGTGGGGCACCTCACTGTTTATCTCCCAGGAGGGATAAATGTAGTCCCTCTCAGGGTAGGATCTCATCATGGATTGGGGGAGGGGACATAGGGAAGGAAGCCTGTCTTCCTCTTAGGTCAGTCAGGGCCTCCAGGCATTGTATCCACCTCTTGCTAACCTCTTGCCCAAGGGGTGTGTGCCATGGGGCTGTGCCAGTGCAACCCAGGGCTGCCCTTGGATGTGTATGTTTGGGACTGTAGCGTGTGTGTGTGTGTGTGTGTGTGTGTGTGTGTGTGTGTTTGGGACTGTAGCATCCACGTGTATGTTTATTTGGGACTGTAGCATCTTCATATATGTGTGTATGTGTGTGAGTGCACACGCGTGCGTGTGTTTGGGATTGTATTATCTGCGTGTGTTTCAAATAATGTTGGGACAGTGCCTTCTTCCATAGTAAGGATAGACGAGGGGCGGTCCCTTAGCCCTGGCAGCATTAGTAATTCAGGTCCTTCTCTGCACAGCTGGACCCCAAGTTGCTGGAAATGCCAGTCCGCCTAAAGGCTAATACCGCTCTACTACTTGCTGACACACAGAAGCAGTTCTTTCTGTGCAACCTTGGGCAGGTCACTCCACCTTTCTCTGAATCTTTTTGCCCTTCTGATCCGCCTCTGGCAGGCTGCTTGCTGTGAGGCCACAGTGACCTGCTTGCTGAGTATGGTCTCTGATAGCTTCAAGTACCTTGAAGAGCAGTGAGGACAAGGGGAGGGGTGGAGCCGGTATTGTCTCAGGGATGGCTGTCCTGTATTAGGACCTGATGTCTAGTCTGGCACTGGGCCTCATGTTCTCCTGTTTGTTGTCAGAGGGTGGGCAAAGGAGGGAGCCCTGCTTGGCACAGGCTGGCGTTGGAGGTGGTTGGTGGTAGTGAGGGTTCAGCCCACACCTGCTAAGGGCTTGCTCAGCACAAAGCCCTGGGGGAGCTGGGAATGGAGATGAGACTGAGTAGCAATGAGGCCACAGCCTGCAGGCAGCTGCCACCCAGTATCCTA